AGCATGAGACGGTTGTCTCCGTTCTAATGAGTACTGTGAGTAATGATTGCCACCCTATACCACCCTATACGGGACCGGTTCAATGGGAATTATTCGATTGCGAAAATATCAACTGATAAGATTACTTTGAATCAGTCATCCTTTCAGTGATTTGTATAATAGTCAACATGTCGCTGTTCCATTTCAATCGACTATTTTTTCAGTACTCTCAATCGGCGGTGAATTGCAACAACAAAATTTCCGACGCAGCTTGCCTTGTCATCTACACGGAAGCTGTCAAAGCGGAAGGCGTAAACGATCGAAATGAAAAATGTGCAGGAGCTCCAGTAGTAAGTGATCGGACGACCCAATGAGCGGGACTTTTTATTTGGACCTTTCTATACCGTTTGAACTCTAACAGTGGGTTTCTTCTTTTCTGAAATTGATTCGCAGCTGCCCAAATCGTTTTCTGAAATTGATTCGCAGCTGGCCAAATCGCCTTTTAAAATGCGTGAATTGACTTGAGCAATTTTCTGCTTGTTAAACCATTAGTTTTTGATCTGCTTACCTTGTCCTGCTATGGAATAGTTAGATGAAAAAAGCGGTTGATTCAGAGACAATAAGCTACTTCCTTCAAAAGCAAGGGCATATCTGTGGTCGGTTAATGGGGGGACAATGGGGCAGCTCACAGAGCAACTTAGGGTGGTATTACGGTTGCCGTCCAGGTGCAGAGAACGTACAACAATCCACTCTTTTACCTTTCACACGAGCGGAAATGTCTGGCAATAATGAGTTTTCATCGTGTTCAGAATCCTGCTCTGGTTCAAGCTGCAATAGATATTTGTCCCAAGACGTGCGGATACTGTTGCCTGACACCCGCTTTCATGTGTGAAAACAAATTGCGTAAGTTGAACAGAGACCTTGATGCATACCAAGAGCTGCCAGTTTTTGTTTTGCGCCATCGAACACTAACGACGAAGTGTGTTGAAAAAAATTCTGGTTCATTTTTTGAAAGAATGTTATACAGGCAATTTCTAACATCCGTGAACTTTATTGAGTTATCAATTGCTTTTCCAGAGCCGCGAGTCCCATGCTCATCAGTAACACAGGATATGTGTGAAAATCCGGTATGGAGAACTATTCTTGAGGAGGATTGCCCCAAAACATGCGGTTTCTGTAATTCAGGTATGCTCGGATTCCTACAGTAAACTCTGCTCGTAGACACTACGTTGCCACCATCAGACATTCTCCTTGTTTTTTTTTATTAAAAATAATCAATGCAGCTGAATGGAGGATAGTGGGTGGGTAGAGTGGACGCCCTAAAATAACAAAAAAACGAGACTACCTTGAGCAGGCAGTAGCAACGACGCTTAACCAGTCCTTATCATTGAGACAATATGTGGGTTGCCGCTATTGGGGTGCCAGAGAAAACAACGAAAAGGGATGGGTTCTGCTCAAGATGTCCGTTTCATTCCGAATATATCCGAATTTCAGGTTTCTGTGTCGATGAAGCACCCGGCTGCGGCTTGGACAACGCATTCATTTGCCAGAGTAAAAATCTGGAGACTTTTGCAAAGGTGGGTGAACCTAAGCGATATGAATACTTAGACAGCACTTGTCCATCACATTTACCAACTCATATTTTGTCTAACGAATATTCTTGGAGAAATACTGCAAGAAGACGTGTGGATACTGCAACGACGCAACAACCACATCACCAGGTCAACCATTCAATCAAGTGGC